ATTCTGCCAGATCTCGTAGGAAAAAACTTGTGGATTGAATAAGTCAAAAAGTCTTGCGATGTTTCTTACCTTTACGCAGGATTTTTTCCATGCTGACCCTACATAAACTATGCAGGGTTCTGTCAGGACTGACAGTATAAAAATCCTGCGTAAACGTAAGAAACATCGCCAGATATTTTAATACTGATAACCCGCGGGATCCTGCATGAATTCTGATTATTTTTTTCAATGGGTATTCGTATCTTTTTCTGTAAATTCTTTTTGTCTACTTTAGGTACGGGAAAAAGTAAAACTATTGCTGGAATTGTTCTCAAACTCTTACCAAAACTAGGAAACAAAAAAATTTTATTATGTGCACCATCCAATAATGCTTGTGATGAACTTACACGACGTATACTCCATCAGTTTGATGAACTTGAAGAAGACTATAAAGGTACTTTCGACATAAATAAATTACAAATACCTACTATTTTTACTCTGCAACTACTTTAGTTTAAAATATTCCATGGTTTGTTTTTTGCATTTCAAGGAAAGGTAGTACGTCTTGCTTGTCAACCACCGGACGACCATCGATTATGTGAACATTTTCTTGATTTTATGGTCATGGGTAAGATAGTTAATAAATTAAAGAACAAGGAGGCAATCGAATCCGATGAAGCAAGAAAAATTGAAAATCTTATTATGAGACAAGCAAAGATATTTGTCTCTACTTTAAATTATTGTGCCAGTTCAAGACTTCATCAATTGAAGAAGAAAATTTCATTTATCATTATTGACGAAGGTCTACTTTATAATGAGCAATACTCTTTCATTTATTTGCCTTATTCTTTTAGCTACACAAAGTCTAGAGGCTGATTCTTTATTACCTTTTCGATTCGGTTGTGCAAAAGTAATAATGGTTGGTGGTATGTATTGTCTATGTTCTCTTTGTCAACATCGTCTATTTTAGATACTGATAACTTATTCTTCAGATCCTCAACAGTTACCACCATGTGTTTTGAGTCAAGCTGGTAAAGAATATAATTTATCACAATCATTGTACTTAAGATTATATTCAATACTTAATGATGTTGAGAACATTAATTCTCCAGTAAGTATGCTACGAGTTCAGTACAGAATGCATCCAGAAATATGTCAATGGCCAAGTGAATTCTTTTACAATAATCGTTTACTAACACATCCTACTATCGTAACAAGATTGGAGGAGTTTCCATTGAAACCTCTTTACTTTTACAATATTGCCATCAGTCAACATGAACAGGATAGTGCCTCGTCTTCAATGAATCGTACAGAAACATCTCACATTCGAAAGTTTTGTACACATTTAATATTATATCTTTATAATTACGAACAATTGGACCAAGATGATAGTACAAATTCAGACACGGATTCATTGTCTTCGTCGTCGAGTGATGACGAATCTGTCTTTCTAAATCTTAGCGATCCAATTATTATTCAAATACAACAGCGTATAGCTGTTATCACACCCTATCGAGCTCAAGTTCGTCATTTACGTTCACAACTACCCAATCATATTGAGATAGGAACTGTCGATGCGTTTCAAGGAAAAGAAAAAGATATTGTAATTATATCGTGTGTCCGCAGTGGAGGTTCAATTGGCTTCTTAGAAGATTCAAGACGCCTCAATGTGATGCTGACACGATCAAAATATGCTATGTATTTATTTGGTAATTTTACTAAATTAAGTGAACAAAATCGAGAATGGAATGCATTAATTCAAAATGCAAGAGGTCGAAACCTGTTTGAAAATATCGGTTTTCTAGCTCCAAAATTACCATTTAAATGATTTTTCTCTATCGTCTGAACAATATCACTTTAAACACTGATGAAATTCTTTTCTTTAGGTATATCCTCGTGCACTGTACGATTTTTTTGTTTACAGTATTTTGGATGCAAATTTAGAATGCACCAGTATTATTTCTTTTTCCTGTCTGCACACTGGTTGATGTCTTTCAATTTCCTTCATTTTGTAAGGTACCGAGTCATTCAATATTTCCACAGAAATTTTTTTCATGATACTTATACATAATTGGATGGAGCGCATTGAGTTACCCTTAGAAAAGTGGCTTCTGCTTTTTCCAAACGATTTTTGAGGGTAAAAATTTTAAAAAGGTCAAATGTTAAAGTTAAAAAAATGGTTAAGTATTAAAAATAAGCTAAAATTCAGCTTTTTTCATTCTTTCGATTCTCCGAAAATGCTTTTCCTAATTAAGTACATAAAATTAACTACAAAACTTATATTTGGCACTGTTCAAATATAATATGCATTTGAATCAGATAAAATTTTGCTGCCCACTGTTTTGGACTATGCTGATTCTATTGTAATTAGAGCCGGCTCATAAAAACTCCAGTATAGAAAATCAATTTTGCCAACCGTCATCGACTTTTTCGCCTGAGCTAACTGGAAGACGACCAGTTCTTGCGTTGTGAAATTGAAGGGCAATGATCACACATTTCACGCTCTACGAACAAAAGGATTTCCGGTAGTTAAATCTGAATCAAAAGATTATCATAAAGGGTCGAAAACATAACAGTGTTTTTTTTGTAGCTGATATAACATTTCAGACCAGAGCTGATTATCTGCATAATTTTTGATTCAAAATAAAATTTACCGCGTTGCAGGTTAGAAAAAACCCTGTTGTCCTGCACAGGTAGGAAGTGCGGGTAAAAGTTTCTGTACTACCCTGCAGATGGACTGCTATACCCTAAGGCGGAGTATAACATTTTTTTTCCTACTTACTACTATTAGTCGGTCTTACGCATCGATAGTCATAGACTCTATCATCAGTTTAGCCTCCTGATCGGAGCCCGTAAAATTTTTCTTTAGCCCGAGCCCGTGAGCCCTACCCCACAAAAAAATGATTTTGTCTCGAAAAAGAGAACCACGGGCTTCCTCGTACCGTTTACCCCATATTTAAACCGATAAATAATACATCTGCTAGATTTGGATAAGGAACGTGATTTCTTCCTTTGTCCGGAGCCCGTAAGCGCGAACCCAGAAAAATATAAATTGTTTCAAGCCCAAGCCCGTAAATTTTTTTTTGTCCCGACCCGGTCTGTCCCACGGGACGGGATAGGATTCGGGGCTGTCCCGCAGGAGCCTAGTTCTGTTTCCCAACCAAGCATTAATTAGAAGAAATTTATGTGTTCTAATAGGAAATGATCTGCTGTTTCTAATGAAATGATGTCTCTCTTAAATTTACTCGTCTGCTCATATTAAAGTAATATAAACCCATAAATACTGTCATACATGTTAGACACCTAAGTAACTTTCAATATACCACTATCGACGGTAGTGGTATAGAGACATACGATAGTCTATCGTATGTCTCTCTTTTATTCATATAGGAACTCGCATCCAGGGAACGATCTTCCATGACTTTGAAGAAATTTTGAAAAAAAAATGTATTGAAGCAGGTATAAGCGTTAAACAAAAATAAAGAAAAGTTTGAAGAGAAGTAGAAAATGGGAGTCGCTTCTGGTGAGAAACTAACCAACAGTTCAGCTTTATTTAATTTAATTTTCAGAAGAAATTAAAGATTAAGAATAAAGAATAAAAACAGCGTTTTGACAGAAGTCTGATACGATGCCCAAAACGTGGAGTGAATGTTTATCGTCTGCTCTACGCTTTTTGACGAATCTGTTTATAGTTCTCTCCTTCTGATCTTTATACTTTTGAAGAATTGCAGTAATGAAGTTTTGATTTTATTGCACGATGTTTTTCTTCGGGAACATCATGGGAAAAGGTGATGATTCGAAATTACTGTATGTTCACACTAAGTTTGAGGCTTATCTATTATTTGGCGAGTTGGTAGCAGAAAAAACTTTTCATTTTTCGGTCATTGATGATGACGACCGATGAGAAGGCAATACTTCAATCAAAAAGCTATTTCATTTGCTTTCTAACCACTCTCTGGCATATATTTATGATCTGCTCGACGAGCTCTATCAGATCGTGTAGAAAAAAAGAATGCATATGCTGTTTTCTCCGAAAATATAATATTAACTGCAAACTGAGCATAAAAAATTGATAATGTATAATAATACATCGTTCAGTCGACGAAATGTAGATATTAGCCTAAACATGATATCTTATACAACTGAACAAACTGATATAAATCTATTGATTTCAAATGCAATTCATTTTTGAATACGATTGCAGAGTTTGTTCAAACACAAAAGATATGAAAACAACTGAAGTCACTACTTACATAGAAAATCAGAAATTCCTAATTCCCTTAAGATAGATCCATATTACATGAGAATTTTCAAAAATTCAATTCAATAAAAGTATTTTGAGAAGACTAGGAGAAAATACTTGATTGCTTAAAATGTTTTCCTGCAAATCTTTGGAATTGAGATAGTCTTGTTTCCTAAGCTTAAATAAAAAAACTTATATTAACTTAAAAAATCGATAATACACTAAAACTCTATTTGCTAATAGATTCTTTGATGAACACAATAAGTCATACTGTCAATCAAATCGAATGTAAACGCCTATATGTTTCGGCGCAGTCGTTAGACCCTGTAATCCGCCACTATTTTTCTCTTCTCCTCCATCAATAAATGTTACATACCGCATGAGCCGAGTAACTATCGTTTTCAATTCTAATCTTTTCAAATCTTGTCCAGCGCACGCTCGATGACCACCACCAAATATGCCTAATGCGTACGGATTATGATTTTTATCTTCATTCAAAATCGTTCAGGTCGAAATTCATGTGGATTCACATTCCAATATCGTTCATCCATATGAACATTGTGAAGTGCAATCAATATCGAATCACCTTTGCGCACTTTTACATCATTAAACTCATCATCTTTTAACAATGTTCGTATTGTACAGTCGATAATGGGTGCCATGCGCAATACTTCTTTCATGACACAATTGACATAGATTAATTTGTCGAGTAAATCAAGAGTGAGATAAGTGGTGGATATTATCTCATTGTCTCGTAATTCGCGCTTAATTTCTTGTTGAATAGGTGAAGAATAATTCGTTTAAGCCAACACTTTTTTTTCATATTCTGTCAATATTGTCTGTTTTTTCTGTCCTGTCTTTTATCAGCGACGAAATAAATCTGTCTATCTATTCAATTTGCCAGTATATCAAATTCTAGATCCCGTTGTATTCCATAATAAACTTTTATAAAATTGAGTAGTTCAATAAATTTGACAAAAACACGTCATAAAACGCCCTATTATGTTCTTGAAAAAAGCATATCTAAGAACAGGATTATGAAAGGTTTT